GTCGAACGCACCCAGAATTTTTTCGGAGTATGTGAAGACTCGCTAACAATTTTGTATTTTTCATTTTCCGTGACGCCCTCTACATATTCTGGGTCGTACCATGGATGGACCTCTGTGTCAAAACCACAAGCATGGCGAAGACGGTAATAAAATGATCGATCCACTCATGTCGTTGTGTTCGTGCCAAAGCTGGGCATCCACTGACAATGTGTTGGACAGTCTCATTAAATTCATTGCATATTTCGTATTTACATTTTGAGGCAGAGTCACATATTGACGGTTTCGAGTGGGAAGTGACTGGTCCTGAGCAGGAAACAGAAAGACTTCTGTTTCACTTTTCAGGCCAATCGACTTCATCCAAGCGAAGGACTCTTACCGTTGCTGATCCACTCAACACACTGCACGTAAACTCGGCACACGCTTGGTTGACACACATTTCTGTACCAGCAGTACAGAACCATCTACGAAATCAACATTGATATTGAGATTATGTCCTACATAATTATTATTATTATTCCAACAATGATGCTTACAATATTGTTCCTGAAGACAGTAGTAAACAATATATAATCTTAAATATGTATGAGAACATCAATAAATGAAACCAATTGTGTCATGTTCGATATAACGGACACACATGCACACACGCACACACACACACACACACACACACACACACACACACACACACACACACACACACACACACACACACACACAATACGCACACACACACAATACGCAAACACACACAATACGCACACGCGCATACATCACATGCAGTCACGTCCAACAACACACGAACTCACACACTCGACTTTAACGTTGTATATGTATGTGACCCACCAGGAGAAAGGGGACCTTATGGGTGTTAGGATACAATTGTGCTGTGACGTCATGAGACGATTGACGTCAACTTTCACCAGTGAGATTCGCCATGTGTACTGTACAAAAATATCTTATTTTTCTCTCGTTAGTTCTTGATGTATTAAAAACATTTAATTTATTTCAAAACCTTTTAGCATACATGTCTAACTACTTTCAATTCATCGATTATTATGTCTGAAAACTGCAATATCTCATATATATTATGTATATATATCGTAGGCAAGTCTAGATCAAACTAAACCAAGTCTAGTTTCCTTGATTCCATATGAAAACAGCAGAGGAGGAAAGGCTCCTTTGAAAAAAATAAGTTACAACTATTTAAAAAAATATTTTCAAAGACTATGTGTCAATCTATAGCACAACCTACAATCTGGCTTTCCGAACCACTGAAAATAGAACCAAATGTTGATAGCACCACAGACATATCTTATCAGCATGGCCCTGACACTCGTGGCTAGGTCAATAGTCCCACCATAACGTTTGCTTGTCCACATGTGGTTTGCTCGGCCACAGGTACCGCAAGTCAAGTTTGCGACCAGCGCAAGTGAATAGGGCCAGGTCGATCATATTTCACAGGTCGTAGAGTTGAGGTGAAATTTGGTTTAACGTGGCGGGCAAGAATTATTGCGCTTATATACTCACGTGCACGCACGTGTGTGTTCCTGGTTGTGCTTGTCCGGACTTATACAGGAGTTATGGAGCACGGAGACTCCCAGTCGACCAGTCCTTCTTTTATGTCCTTAATGCATAGTGCAAGGCAAGAAGACAAGTACAATCCTTAAACCCCCTTTGGTATGACGCAGCCGGGATCGAACCACCCAACTTCGGGCAGACCCTCTATCCACTAGACCATTGGGGCGATCCACTGGTCGTCGACTTCATCGTAGTGTGACGTCATGCACATGCATATTGCAGTCCTTCTGTTATTCACAATCAGGATATATATACACTACAGCCTACCTCAAGGGAATGTTTCAGAACAGACATACTACAATATTATACAGCAGAATGATTGGTTAGTGATATTTTGCATAATATTCTATACCAGACCTTTTGGCCAGAGAGGATGTGGATGGGCCATGACTGTTAGCATCTGAACCAATTCCCGACGTTCACGGGATGCAATTCCAGGCTTGTTGTGACAAGCGTAAAGATGAGGGATGGGTTCGACTGCCGTTGAGGCGATTTGCTGCTATATCCTTAAACATTCCTTCTTTGTTGTTAAACACGGGATATGGAGCTGGGTGTTGTTGTTGGGGAGGAATTAGCGTGGTGTTGAACAGTGTTGATCGTATGTAGCATCCCCGCTACACTCACCAGTAGGTTTGAAGAGGCTTCAGGTGAACAGCAACGTGTTTGTTGGTGAACACGTTTGTTCGACGTGGTGCTCAGGGAAGCAAATTTGAGTATATATTTCTTGTTTCATGGATGGTTTTCATTTCAAGGCTGAGTGGTGAAGTGATTGAAGGGAAAAGGAACAGTTGAAGCGATTTATTAGTGAAATGGGATGCGTGCAGGGTTTTGCGGAGTTGCAGTTTCCGTGATGTCACGTGTATTATCTAAATGAATCGTGGATGGGAATCTCTGTAATCAGCTGTTTCACGCTCGTGTGCATGTGTGCCAGTGAGCGTCTCACACACGTGATTTACGTGCATTCTTGGAGGTTTCACAAACACAACGCTCAAAATATCTATCATCCTCGGCACCGGTGTACCCACATTGGTGTAACCAGTCCCTTGCTTTGATCAATCAGATCACTTGATACATACACTCCAGTTTGAATGGCAGCCGTGTGATTGAAATAGACATGTGTATATTGCTGTCAATCACAACTTGGTCCGCTCCTGAAACTACATTTACAGAATAATAGTAAATTACATTACTTCCAACTTTTCCGTCTCTGAACACGTTCTTAAGAAGGTCACAGTGCGCGTCAGAGATTGAACAAGCTGTTGACGAGAGTTCGATATTCGTCAAGGGATAAGGAAATGGACAACTAAACAGCGCACGGAATATAACACTACTGGGTTAATTATTTTGGATGATAGATGTGTATTTCGAGGATCGTGAACAAGAAACCTGCCCACCCCATGTACAACGTTTCACCCAATAATCACAGCGTTGAATGACTTCAAGCTTGATCTGCTTTTCAGAGTCGCCATCCGCGCATACACACGTTGTATTGTGTTACACGAGTGCTTGAACCAGTCCATATAACGTATATACTTGACTGGGCTCTTTCTACATGCTATTCAACTGAGTGACAGCAAGACGCGACGTGTGATGTATATTACAATCAACGAAGATATGGATCAGTCGCGTGAGATTATGTGCCTTTAAATAACCACCTGTATAACGCAGTTACACACTTGAACGCTGACACGACATTCCTTCAACCGATATGAGGCCAACTCCATATGCGAAGTAAACAATATTGAGTCATATACCTGTTGATATCGGGCGGGATAATTGCTTCTGTTGTTTACTGAAGCTGATCATGAAACGACACCTTGGAGATTTTACGCAGGTACATATTGTTTGTTCACCGACAAAGGTTGTTGATCAGATCTGTGTTGTGAAGCCGTGTATGTTTAATACATATAATTTACTGCGTTGATCACCGATACACAACTGAAACCTTACCTGTAAAAAAGTGTTTAACAATCTGGCGTTCAGTTAAATTCGTTTGAGGATTGGACCTTTACTTTTTGGCACTGTTGGTTATGATTCCTAAAACGACTTCCATGCAACGGTACGTTGTGTGACATTATATCTTGTTATATTTAACCACGCTATCTTGACGTACCTGATTGATATATCTACAATAGTATTATATGAAGAATTCATTCGGATGTGTGAGTAAATTATCATTAATGATCATATGTTAAATACCAACAGCATCAATTTGACATACACAAACGAACGTACGTGATCCTGACGTTTAAGCGTTAACGTCAATCATCAACCTCGTTAAACCAGAAGTAGATCTACCTCCTACTACAATCGGGACATATCAAGTTCCATCGAATGAAGGTAACAATAAATTTGTTCATTCGACCGCCGTGGTTACTATCGACATGCAAGCACTAACAGTGTGCTTGAGAGACAAGGCCCACTGACCCGTCACACTAACTCACAGCCCTCCTGAACGCTTGACAACTTCGCGCTTAGGACAGACAACAAGTACAGATGGGATTTCATACCAGGGCGACAAGCACGTCGGCTGTGTAGACTAGACAGAAATAAGTTAGGCTTGTGATATTCCAACGCATCTTGACTTTGTAACGGGCACAGTTGTGATGTTTCTGCACGTGTTCTATGATTTGACGGAGTCAGTTTATCAACATAATGTGGCGAACATTGTTGTAAATAACAGATTGTGACTGGTCACTGTAAGGCAATTCGGTTAGTCCAGTGGATCGGGTAGAGGATGACCAGTACGGGTTGTATGTGAGTCGTGTTTCCCATGAAGGACGTTTCATATCGTCTTGTTATCTTTTAAAAAAGTGAAAAAGAAGAAGATGTACATGTGATTGACAGCTATTTTCCGCGACCACGTTTTTTCCGGATACGACCTCCTCCCGAAGAGATCGCTATGGATAAATAAATCTGACATCATATGTGCTTTATACTTTACTTCAGCAAACAAACCATGAGCGTGTTTCCTCGAGCTATACCTCACCGATAAAATCCGAACGTGTGTTTCCTCGAACTATACTTCACCGATAGGATCCATACGCGTGTTCCATCAAACTATACTTCACCTATAGGATCCATACACGTGTTCCATCAAACTATACTTCACCTAAAGGATCAATACGCGTGTTTCCTCAAACTATACTTCACCTATAGGATCCATACGTAAGTTTCCTCAAACTATACTTCACCTATAGGATCCATACGCGTGTTGCCCCAAACTATACTTCACCTAAAGGATCTATACGTGTGTTTCCTCGAATTATACCTCTCCTATAGGATCCATACGTGTGTTTCCTAAAACAATACTTTAGTTGTAATTGAGGCTGTAGTTTATACCTCGACATCTGCCGCGCATCTTCACCATGGTTTACACCTATCTGAATCACACCATCCATCCCCATCTTCCTCACCAGATCACGTTGCTAGAGAAGTTCAAGCAGCAGCAGGTGCTCAAGAAGGCCTATCTTCAGTGTCAGGAGCGTCATAACTCTACACTCTCTACACTTACAGGTAGGTCGCTGTTTATTTATTTTTAGTTTATCTGTCACTGAGTCTATGAACGTGACTTATAATGAATAATGGATGTTACACAGATAACGAGGGGAGGGGAGCACATCCCTATCCTCATAATCACCCACCAACACACTCACATCCACATCCACACACCCACAGCCACATCCACACCCACGCAGATACAGACATCCACACTTGCACCCATACCCACACACATGCCCACAGCCATTGCCACACCCACATCCATACTTCGACACCCAAGCGGACTCTCACACCAACTCCCACTTTCCCACTTACATAACCGTCTCCATCTTCACAGGCAACCACCCACACCAACACCTCCACACACACACACACAGCCACAGCCACACCGACGCACACCCACACCTCCACACACCCTAAATAACACAAACACACACACACACACACTCACCAACACACCCCACTGGCACCAACACACACACCTCCACACACACACACCTCCACACACATGTAGGGAGCTTGCAGTTTCATACAAAAGGATAGCAAATATTACTAAACAATCTCATCACATTCAAACTGGGCTCTGTCTTTTCAAATCGATAGCAATGGAGGCGCCATTGGTTAATTAACTTAGGCACTTGAGCAACTTCCGCCCCCGCCTTTAGGATATTGCTAACTCCGTGAATGGCGTGCCAATGAGTGAGTATGGTTTTACGCCGCTTTTAGCACTTTTGTCAGGACGGAGGACACCAGAAATGGGCTTCACACATTGTACCCATGTGGGGAATAGAACCCGAGTATTCAGCGTGACGTGCGAACGCTTAACCCACTAGGCTACTCCACCGCCCCGACAATGAGAGTATTGGAACACTGCTGTTCAAACCAAACACTGCCTCTCCTGTAATGAATATTCCTGAACATGGTTATAACCCAGAGGGTGATTGTTTTGACTGATAGTAAACCAAGTAAGTGTTTCAACGAACTCGACTATGGCGCCAAATCTTCGTGCATTGGTCGCGATATAGGGAACATTCGTTTTACTGTTGAGTACCCTTGTTTGGATTTTCTTGGTTTTAGCAATAGTTAACGTTTTTAGTACTTATACATTATGAAACTGCATGTTTTAAAGTTAATTTGGTGTCTATCTTGTTCTCTTCTCCAGTATTTTTAACGTATTAAACAGTGTAAGCTGCAAACCTTTAAACAGCGAAAGTGACAAACTTATGAAATAGTGAAGGCTGCACTCCCTTAAAACAATGAAAGTGACAAACTTATGAAATAGTGAAGGCTGCACTCTCTTCAAACAGTGAAAGTGACAAACTTATGAAATAGTGAAAGCTGCGCACCCTTAAAACAATGAAAGTGACAAACTTATGAAACAGTGAAAGCTGCACACCCTTAAAACAATGAAAGTGACCAACTTATGAAATAGTGAAAGCTGCACACCCTTAAAACAATGAAAGTGACAAACTTATAAAATAGTGAAAGCTGCACACCTTTAAAACAGTTAAAGCTGCAAACGTACAAAACACTGAAAGCGACACACTTATACACAGTGAAAGCTGCACACTTTTGAAACAGTGAAAGCGACATATCTATAAACAGTGAAAGCTGCACAGCTTTAAAACAGTGAAAGTGACAAACTTATAAAATAGTGAAAGCTGCACAGCTTTAAAACAGTTAAAGCTGCAAACGTATACAACGGTAAAAGCGACACACATATAAAACAGTGAAAGCTGCACACCTTTAAAACAGTGAAAGCGACAAACCTTTGAAATAGTGAAGCTGCAAACCTATGAAACAGTAAAAGCGGTATATCTATAAAACAGTATATATAACAATTTTATTATCAATAATTCGCCAGATATCAATGAATAATAGCGCGTATTTTGTATATGCGAGTTGTGACCGGTACGATTCGTTTCTCAAAACATGTCATGTTCTATGTAGGGAGAACATTATTAACGCACGCGAGATATGCCTCAAGGCATTCGAGGTGTCATAAAAACTGACAGAAAAGGTAAGGGAACAATTATAAGAGGGGCACTTCATGTACCGTATGTACGTCGAGATATTGTTTGACGATAAAAGGAAAAAAAAATTTAGCTTCAGGTTTACAAAACAAATATAATTTTTCTCTGTCTGTCCTAGAAATGAATAATTTATGCTGCCGGTCAAAACTGCTTCCGCTCCTCCGGGTGTCATGAAACTGCACAAAAAGATGATTTGTCGGTGACAAGGATTCCCCCTCCCTCCTCCATATTCCACCCCACCCCGAATAATAAATCGTAAGCGCCTGAATCTGTCTATTTTTCTTTGCAGATTCACACACATATATATGTCTTTGTGGAACACGAAAACCTCTTATAATGCATACCACACACCTAATCCCTCTGACGTATAACGACCGCCTCCGTGGTCTTGTGGTAGAGCGTCCGCCCGGAGAGCGGAAGGTCCAGGGTTCGATCCCGGGCCACGTCATACAAAAAGACGTTAAAAGATTGTACTTGTTGTTACCCTGTCTGGCGCTCGGCATTAAGGGGCTAAAACAAGGACTGGTCGGCTCGGAGTCAGTATACTGTGTCTGAGTGGGGTATTCATGTTAAACTGCGGCATGGTATCTCAGTGAGCTAGCACTATAAATCGGCATCAGTCCGGACTAGTACAAGCAGCCACACACACACATACACGTGCATGCACGTCGCTATATAAGTGCAATAATCTTGGACGCGACGTTAAACCCAATTTCACCTCACCTCACCTGACGTATAACATTCCTATTGTTAAAGACGAGCCCGTGTTACTTGGCCGCAGCTAACTGTCCCCTTTCCGTGGGTATTACTATAGCGTCACTATTTTTCAGCTGTCTGCTTTTGTTGAATATTGCTTCTACCTCTGCTAACGGAGTATGCAATTTCGTTTTGTCAGAATGCTATTTCGTATTGACATAAGAGGGTGTGAAAACTGCCAACGCGTCAGTTTGACTCTTTGTCTCTGATCCACCGGGATCCTACATGCGTACACTAGCTTGGACTTATCAAGTGAGGTTGAGTTTGACTGAGCCAATTTGGCTTTTGAAGTTATTACCCTGACAACTGGGAATATGAATTGCGGAATTAGTGCTGCGGTGCGAATTGGGAGTTAGGATTGCGGAATTAGTATGACAGAGGCCAATATACCGGTACCCACGTGAATAGTTGGCATCTGCGTCGGTGGCTTGATGCGGAATGTAATTAGGAGTATACTTCAGGGTTGATAGTGCAATATCGCGAATGATAAGCTTGAGTGACTGTGGTTTTCTCTTCTGTTCAACGAAACATGCAACACATATTGACCCTGACGCTCATGTCAGTTTCCAGGGAGTTTTAACCCCGATTGTCTTACGAAAGGGCGTGTATAAAACTGCTGGATCTTGTATGACCAATATGTCTGGTGTAAAGCTTTGTTTGTTTGTTTGTTTGTTTGTTTGTTTGTGTGTTTGTTTGTTTGTTGTTTAACGCCGCACTCGTCCAGCTGTATGACGATGGTCTGTAAAGTCTAAGTCTGGACTTGACTACGTAGTTTTGACAAAATGAACATCGATCTTCGCAATTGGGATGCGATGATGTTTAGGTACGTACAAATATTGTGATACGATGACTGCATCAACCAAGTCAGCGAGCCTGACCACTCGATCCCATTCGTCTCCTCTTAACGACAAGCATGTATTGCTGAATACCATATATCTACCCGGCTCTTTACGGGTATGGTCGAAATAATGAGTGAGGGTGGTTTTACGCCGTTCTGCACAGGGCGAGGGTCAGCTAAATGTGGAAAGAAAGTGCACAGAGATGCGACACATTAACCTCATTAACTGTATAAAATTATCAAATTCTTCAATCTTAAAAAACATATCTTGAGCATATAGATGTTTTTTGACAGTCGTTTGTATTTAGATTCACTGAACTTCAACCAGGGCTTTGAATCCTTCTTCTTGCAGATCCTTGGTTTGTCAGCACCGCGGCTTTCCGCTACTTTCAGTTGACATCCATGAAATGTGTCTCTCCCGACCCGACACCTTTAAGACTATGAAAGTCAAGTGATCTAAAATAAGATGTTTTACTCCGATGCTAAACCTCTGTACCTGAGGACACTTCTATATAAGGTCGTGGGCACAGGGGCAAGTCGTCCAAGGCGCCGCGATTCGCTGTGCAGAGTTGCGTCCCTTGGACACATGAAACATATGATTGTTGGTTCGAATCCTGGTTCGCCCCGATTATGTTTCTAGGTTTGTCAGCACCATACCCATACACGTGGGTTTCACCGATGTGGTAAACGTCTGAGACCTGCATCACTTCAGTCTTTCATCCCGCATTAAGCTGACACGCCGCGATATAACTGGAATACTGTTAAAAGCGGCGTTAAACCCAACTCACTCACTCACTCTATATAAGGTCGTGTCAGGTGAACTTTCTAAATAGGCTTCTGTTGAGGTGTCCCCAGATCTTGACTTGTATATTGGAGTAATGATCTGATTTTAATGAGACTGGTGTAATTGATGACTTTATTGCTGCGCGCGCGTGTGTATGTGATTGTTGGTGCGTGTGTGTATGCTTTCTTATACTAGTTCACACTAATGCCTCTTTATAGTGCTTTCCTTCTTAAATACCATGCTGCATAAATAGTATGTCTGCGATTGTCTTTAGGAACATTTTGATAGGTCAGTTCACTGGTGTAATTTAGCTTCGCCATTGAGTACCTTGTAGATTAGAGATAGTGAGTGAGTATAGTTTTACGCCGCTTTTAGCAGTATTCCAGCAAAAACGGCGGGGGACACCAAGATTAGAGATAAGATCAAGGCAGTGTAGCGTGGCCATGCATGTGACACTGACATGACAAGAGTGAGGAGAGCTGTCTATACAAGCATTAGTCACACAATGTTAACTTCAGCCGTATGTAGTCACAATTAAGTTCCAGTTGATGCAATTAGAATTAGCTTATTCCTTTGCGTTTATGGAGGTTTTCACGTAAAAACC